GGCCTGGAGGCCTGCCAGTTGCCTGCGCTGTTGGGCTGACAGGTCGTTGCCACGGGTCTGTAAGGAAGGAGAGCGCGGAGGGGTGGTAAGCGCACGTATGAATAAGAGGCATAAAGGAGGGCGAAAGACAAGGATCTGAATGTTTGTGTGTGCGACTACGCCAGAATTGCCATATAATTGTCTACTTGTGTGATTTAAGTAGGCATGTAATTACGTATTTAGAATCCCGTTGTGTGGTTAAGTTTCTGGGGGGGGAGGGGACTAGGGCAATTGGAATCTGTGGGATGGATTTGATCTTGTTCATGGCTTTACGTTTGTGGTCTGTGCTAATTCTGAGATTAGGCTTAATTACTAACAATTAAAGCTGAGGTTAGGTTTAGGGAATAGAGTTGGCCAAGCGGTTGCACATAGTAGGTCCCTGGCAGGCGAACGTGTCAGAGGAAAACCTACCAGGAGAGATCGGAGCGTCATCAGATCCGAGGAGGATGGAGGGGAGACGGGAGGGCTGTTTGCTGTTCTTTTCTGGTCCTGAGCCTCGGAGGAGGTTTTGAGATCTAGCAAGGAAAGAGCGGTATCATCAAGGCTGCGAATCGGGATATTTGTGTCAAGTAAGCAAATGCGTACAACAGAAAAGGGACTGCAGTGGAGATTCTTACCATGCCAGTAGGGTGCGGGAAAACCTTTACTAGGAGAAAAAGTGCGTCAAAGGACATATGCGCAAGGGTTTGTTTACACCATCCTGCGATGCAATATAACAAATCTGAACAGTTCGTTGTCTCATGAAGATGCAGTTCCTTTATTACCTAATAACAGGGGTGCTGACGAACATCACAGCGAGAAATTTCGAAAATGTGTAAAAATTGTTTGCCGTGAAACTCTGTATTTTTTTTCGCCAGTCATACTCAACGGCAGGTCTGGATGAGGAGAGATTAGCAATGGTCATAACGACCTTCGTCTGTAACCACTCTAAACTAATTAATCTTTATGCGACCGCCTGTGAGGGCTCAAGATTAAGCCCTAAGGAACAACGGGACGAGCACGTCTTGGAAACAGATAGGCGTCTACCCATTCTACTAAACTACAGGCAGCTTGATGGGTGCAACGTTTTGGTTCATTCCTCTAATTCCTGCATAAAAGTGTGACTCGTTCAAGCCACTACCCTTGAGAGGACTTGGCTTTCTAGTGGCTA